CGCCTCCTTCCCTCCTCCCTCCCTCCCTCCCTCCCTCCCTCCCTCCCTCCCTCCCTCCCTCCCTCCCTCCCCGGCCCTCCCTCCCTCCCTCCCTCCCTCCCTCCCTCCCTCCTCGTCTCTCTTCCGCTTCGCTCGCCATCGCTCATCATGGCATCGCAGTAACGGCCGATCGGTCAACGTCTCAAGTGACCCCAAGCCGTGACTCACTCAGGCTCAGCCAGTGGTCCAGGCTGAGAGCTGCCGGGCCGCGGCCGGGCGGCCCCGCCGGACTCCGGCCCGGGAAGTTGCCCGGCGCTGTCACTGAGTGTGCGGCGGGTCAATCCCGGTCCGGCGGGCCGCGGCGCGGCGCCGCGCGGCGGCAACTGTGTGGCTCCCCGGCCCAGCTTAACGATTAGCCGCTCCGAGCCGCTCAGTCGTGGCCGCTCGTGCGGGTACTAGAAACGGTCAACCGTGAACACCGAGCAGTCGTTTACTCAAAGTCCACTGCAAAAGGAGTCCCTTTACTCAAAGTTAAGTTAAAAATCACGATGGTCACGGCGCAACCGCGGGCCCGGCGCCGGGCCTTCCTGAGCCGGGCCGCGACTCTCACTCAGCACGACGGTGAGTCTGAGTTGGCCGGCGGTCACCGGCGGCTGTGCACTGAGGGACCCGGCAGATTGGCCCGTGTAAGATAGGGGTGGGGTAGGCACAAGAATCATTGACAGGAGGGGTACCTGTTGTCTCAAGATCCGATATGGGTGGACCATGGGGATTGGATGGGTAGTGAGATGGAAATATGAGGGTAGAGGGTGGTGGGCTGAGTGGGTTGGGGGTAGTGATCCTTTACGACGGACAGGGGTGGTCAGTCACTGAGTTTGTCTTGGGGTAGGGTAGGTCGGAAGAGGGCAAAGTGGTGTCCGAACTTTCAAGCTGTACCGGTGGTATCAAGGGATAAAGTGGGGGTAGTCTTTGATCGGTACAAACACTTCGTGCCACCTATGACTGGTGTAGAGCCAATAGAAGGATGGGGTGGATGGGTACTCCAGTACGGGTCTGTTGAAGGGTAAAAGGACGGGTGATCAGTATGGAGGATGGCCTCTGAGAGGTAGAGTACCCTACCCTCTGAGATCCTTCACATGAGTAGTACCCCCACCCCCCTCGGAAAGAGTCGTTTGATGGGAAGAATGGGGTGAGGGGGTAATTCAGTAATTCTGTTTCAAAAAGGTAGGGTGGGGTGGAGATTAGTTAGGTCATGTATTATTGCTGATGAAGCCGTGGGTACCAGGTTGATTTTTGGGGGTAGGGGGTTAAAGTACATTCTAGCTTCCAGTAATTTTAAAGGGTAGTACAGAGAGAAAAATAGGGTTGTCAGCTCATGAGAGGGGTGGATGACAAAAATTATGGGTAGGGGGTCTAATCAGAGGAGTCTGCAGTCCAACTTGAGGGTGGGGTTGTTTGGGGGTGGGGTGGGGTTGAGAAAGTGTTTGGTATCAGAAGGTTTCGTCGCCTCACGAGGAAAGGAGATGAGGGAGGGTACATGGGGGGTCCTTCCCTTCAGTGGTGGGTGATAATTATGTAGTAGATAAGTAAATTCATATGGAAAATTACTCCATCTATAGGAGATTATTTATAGTAAGTAAACATTTACTACCAAGGATGATGGAGTGAAGAGGGGGTATATCGCAGAGGAGTCTGAGGTCAGCTGCCCGTTGCGGAAACACCCTTCCTCTTTCCCGCCCTCGGCTGCTGCATCCGCTCTTCTCTCTATGACTGCAGAGTGATAATGGTCATGCAAGATCTTCGCTTCGCTCCTCCTGATGCTCCTCCTTTCATCATCTCTCCTTTCCTCTCCTTTCCTCTCCTTTCATCTCCTCTCCTTTCCTCTCCTTTCATCTCCTCTCCTTTCATCTCCTTTCATCTCCTCTCCTTTCCTCTCCTTTCATCTCCTCTCCTTTCATCTCCTCTCCTCTCCTCTCCTCTCCTCTCATCTCATCTCCTCTACTCTACTCTACTCTACTCTACTCTCCTTTCATCTCCTCTCCTTTCATCTCCTCTCCTCTCCTCTCCTCTCCTCTCCTCTCCTCTCCTCTCCTCTCCTCTCCTCTCCTCTCCTCTCCCTCCTTCCAGGCCTACCTCTCTCACCCCCGTGCATCTCCCAACAACTATTTCCCTTCCCCCCCCTACTGCCTTGTCCAGGCTGCCTCGTTGTTTGATGTCTGAGCAGCTTCCTTGTATGCATTGCACACGCATGATAGCACTTCACGATCGCGATGTGCTCAATTTGTGTCCTTGATTGCGGCATTACGAGGAGAAGCAATGGATTTCAGCTCTTCGTGCCACTTTTATGAGTGGAAAACAGTCAATTCTTGCAAGTCGCATACAATGAACATGCAAGCCATCATGTTTCTAATATCATTTCAGCTCTGAATAAGTGTTGATATGGCAATTTGATAGTTTTCTGTTGAACATAACTTGTTTTTCAACCTTGGGTGTCCTTCCTGTGACCTACAACACTCAATATGACTGTTATGAATAGTGAGATATATCTTCTGGTGGCTGTGATCAACCTACAATTAATCTTACAGCACCAATCTTCCTGACATTGACTGTTTCTGTTTTCTGGTTTCTCACGCTTTAGGGCAGGTGGTGGTTGGAACTCGAGCTGCAGCAACTGGGTTGAGAGAATACAACAGTCATTCTGAATTTCAAGTTGTCTGCTGCTATGGACACGGAGAGAGGGATAACACAGGGAGGCGTGTAAATGACATTGTCTAAGAGCTGGTTGATCACCTGTCAAGTCAGAAGGCTTCATCAATCGGGGATGATCCATTAAGGCAATATGACTGCTTATTAATGTTCATATGCTTCTTGCACACTCAAGCTTCTGAACGTTATCTATCTCTATTGACTTGGAGCAAAGAATAATCTTGGACGAGGGGAGAGCGCTTTTTGCAGGACAAATTCGATATTCCTCTAAACTGTGCTTGTAGCACAAGTACGGTCGATAGGTGTTTGGGAAGACTGTTGGTGAATATTAACGAAAAACCAACGTCAAAATCCTTGTCAATTTCTACTACACCTGACAGTCAGTTGATTGGAGGCTGCGCTGAGGTGGGGGTTTAAGGGGTGATAATCAATATGGCCCATCAAGGACGAGCTCAGATGGGTCCGCCATCCCAGCACAACATGACGATAGAAAAGACTCCTTGGGCAGTGGGCAAAATATATCCGGTAGGCCATTATCTAAGAATCATTGAGATAATTGCAAAGATTTGCTTCTAATCATTGATATCTTGGATAGATTATTGCGGGGAGATTATCATTTACTGCTCACAGAAATGATGATCATACGCTGACAGAGATCAAAAGACAGCCAGCATTATTTTTCTTCTCGTGAGTCTTCCTATTTCTGTCAATGGCTGTTGATCGCCTTCCAATCACCTTCCCTTGCAAATTTGAATAATCACATGGATTACGTGACTTACTCTTGGCAGATCCGACCTGCAAGAACGCTATGAACCATACTGTGCGGATTTTGGGCCTGTAAATCTAGGTGTTGTGCACCGCTTCTGTACATTGATGAATGAGAGAATGAATGATCAACGACTTGCTAAGGTATATGTATTCTGGATTTTTATTTTGAATTGTTTTGACATACTAATCTGTATGCTTCAGCGTCATCTCGTTTACTACACGGATGAAAATACACCTATTCGAACAAACACAGCATTTCTCCTTGGGGCTTACCTGGTGCAACCTATCACGGAGAGTCTTCTATGCCCTTCTGACATATTATCCCCCTAGGTCTGTGTACAAGGTTGGAGTCCTGAACAGGTCACTTGGCTCTAAGCATCTTTGACATTGTTAACTCCGTGAATAGGCAGCATTGCCATTTGCCGCGATTGAACCATCACCATTCAAGCCATTCCGAGATGCAACGTATGTCATTCAATGTAGAAACAGAACCTTCTAATATTAGTCTCGTACAGATATTTGCCATCGGAATACCCTCTGACTCTTCTGGATTGCTTTTCCAGTTTGCACAAGGTACATTGTGCGTTTTGAGATTGGATGGAATCTCATGGTTGCCAGGCGATCACGGTCAATTTTTTCAATTACGATGAGTTTGACGTTGAGGACTACGAATTCTGGGATCATCCTTTGAATGGAGATCTTCACATGTACCCTTATATCATTCGACTATCAAGTGCTGAGCTTTCCTTTTAGGGTCATGCCATGTGCGGGTCCCAACGTTTCAAAATTTATAGCATTCAAAGGTCCGTCAGCAAAACGAGAAAAAATTGCGCCTGGAGTGTATACATTTACGCCTAAGGACTATATCGAAGTTTTCAAGGACAAGGGAGTTACAGCAGTGGTTCGCTTGAACGAACCGGATACATATGATGGAAAAGAATTCAGCAAGAATGGGATCAATCACTATGATCTCTACTTCGATGACTGCACCGTTCCCCCAGCCAACATAGTCAGTCAATTTCTTGATATTTGTGATCGAGAACGGGGGGCCCTTGCTGTGCATTGCAAGGTACAGTACACTTTGATGTCTACCGAACGATTCACGATTTGTACAGGCTGGATTGGGAAGAACTGGGACTCTGATTGCGCTTTGGTTAATGAAAAATTATGGTTGGATTTGTGTTGTGAAATCTTGGTTTTTATGATTTGGGGCTTGGCAGGTTTTACAGCAAATCAATGCATAGGATGGTTGAGAATTGTTCGTCCGGGGAGTATTATTGGACCTCAGCAAGGGTATTTGAAAGTTTGTGAGAGCGGGTGAGAACTTCATTTTGGAGAGATGTGAATTCGTGTCTTATAGTGTTTCAAAGGTATTTTGATGGAAACAATCTGGTTCTTCCCAAGTCATCCGAGCAGAAGCAAACTTCAGCAGATGAATCAGCGGCACTTGCCAAGCAAGTTGCTGAGGCCATGAATCTTCGTGCGGGAGCGAGACGGTAACCAACGCTACACATGGAATGGATTTTGGCAGTTGGGTTCTGTTGTTATGTTTGGTTCTCTCGTGAGGTTGGGCATCAACCCAGTTCCTGTAACATCATTTGTATATTTCTTATGTGGGGCGGCAACAGCAAATGCAAGTACGCGATTCGGGGGATCCTAGTGAACGTGCCAGTGCGCGCTTTGAAGTTGTACAAACATGCTGTTGTGGCATCTATTATTGTTTCTGTTGCGTCAAGGAGGCAACAAGTGGAATCACTGACCGAACATTCTCAAAGTTTTGATCTTATTGCCTGAAATGTTCTCGTCAGCGCAGCTCTTCTATGGTGCAGTATGGAGGCTCATGTTGCTGCAAACTAAGTATCTCAAGTCTTCATTACGTTGTCATATTACGTGAGCGATTCATGTGATTGGACTCTAATGAATTTTCAGTTTTTCTTAAACAAAGCAAGTCAACCCTCAAGTTTCTGACCCCCACTTTGTAGAGCAATCATTCACGACACTCGGGGCACATTTTTTTGCCATACGAATCCATCGGCATGAGACGCTGCGATGATCAGGAGGGCGCATAAAGCTGGTGTATAAAGAATGTTTCTCGGTTTCGGAAGAAAGAACTGAGATCGCTGTCTCATCGTAGCCATCGGAAGTGCCAGAACAGATGGGGTAAGAGTGCCGTACATCAAGGATGCAGCAGAGACAGCAAGGCAGATATTTAGGAGAAGAGGCGAGAAAGGGACTCGAGCAGAAGGGAGAGGGTAGAAGGAGCACGAAGAGAGGAGAATGGTGCAGGGTCAAGCCATGGCGAACAAGAGAAAATGAGCGAGAAGAGAAAAGGAGGATGGAAGGGTGTAGCTTGATTGTGGAGATCGGAGAGAAGGTGGAAGAGAGGTTCGGGCAAAAGTCGATGAATCAGACAAACTGAAAAATGAACGACAAAAGTCATAAGGTGACAGGGAGGTTGGCTGTCGGCTAGGTCCGGAGACCGCATACCCCTTTCGGTCGCTGCTGCTGCTGCTGCTGCTGGCGGCGGCGGCACAGTTCAGACGAAACCAAACAGGGTGAAAAGAGACGGAACAGAGGCTGGTACAGTAGCTCGAGCAGGATGGAGAAAGGGGAGGGAAGGAGCAGACAGCAGGAACAAGCACGAGCAGCAGTAGCAGCAGATATTAACAACGGCAACGACGACTGAGGACAACAAGAACAACAATGGTTGTGATGATGGCCATGACGATCAAGATCAAGATCAAGATCAAGGACAAGCAAGTCAACCTCCATGTTCTCAGTACATAAAGGCTAGTATGCTTAACACGTGTATCGCCTCTATAGCTCAGTTGGTCAGAGCGCACGCTTAGTAAGCGTGAGGTCGCGTGTTCGAGCCCCGCTAGAGGCAGCTTCCTTTTTGACTTGGGCAGCCTCGGAGCGTATCGAATCCGAGCCTCAGGCTTCAAGCCGAGGGTAAGAGGCTGGCCGGGCCCGTCCGGGCCCGGCCCCGTCTGACGACGTCACTGAGTGTGTACTATTTTTTATTAATTTGAGTCGCAAAGGCTTAGCGACGGCGAGTCAGGCTGCGGCACTCACTCCCGAGTCCGATCATGAGCCTCAGTCCCGGGCCTGTCGGGGGCCCGGCGGCGCGCGGCCCACTTGGCAGGCAGGGCCGAGCACCGCCGCGGCCGGGCAGCGACCATCATGGCATACCAAACCGTCTCATACTGCCGCTGATCGGATCGACTCGCGACCAGAGAGTTTGACCAGATCGGACTCCCGTTTGACCAGAGTTCGACTAGCTAGTAGTCTCGGTTGAGCTCGTCACGGAAGAATTCCAGTGGGTGGGGCGATGTGGCGTGGAGTTACTACCCCTCTTCTTACCAAGTTTCAATGGTAAATGTGTAGGTAGGTATTAGCCAGGATCGAACGACGAGGTAGGGTTGGGGCGGTTTGGGTCATGGCGCGGGTACAGGCGATCCTGCTAGTCGCGACAAGCCTCGGTAAGGAGGACGAGGACGAGGACGAGGACGAAGAGGACGAGGACGAGGACGAGGACGAGGACGAGGACGAGGACGAGGACGAGGACGAGGACGAGGAGGGAGGATGGGTTGGTGGATGAGTTGGGGTTTTCGAGGGGGGTATGGGAAGCAACGTCTGGCAGGAAAAGCAGCAGGAAAGCCCAGCCAGGAGGAGGAAATTGAGATTAGCAGATGGAACGTGCACGAAGTTATTTCTGAACAGTTGTTGAATTGCCGTGGACTCTGTCTTTAGCGTGTTAAGGCAGGCAGGCAGGCAGGTAGGCAGGCAGGCAGGCAGGCAGGCAGGCAGGCAGAGGGTTTGTTGCTAATGATAATCATGTTGGCAGTCTTGTTGCTGTCTGTAGGTGCTCTTGACGACAAGTGGGGAATCTTTCAGTCGATCGATGAAGCTCGACAGGAGGAGCCAGCAAGAGGAAACGACGGCTCTTCGCATGGACGTGATGGGTCGCATGCAAGGAGATCAGAGAGCTGCTCGGAGAGCGAAGAGCTGCGGAAGGAGATTGAAATGCTTCGAAGCAAACTAGCTTCTGCGACGAGGTAGTCTCGTACTGCTTCTCTCACCTTCTCCTCATGCTCTTCAAGTATCGCAGCGGAAAGTGAAAGGAAGCTCTCGGAATCTCGCAAGACTACTGCTCAGCTTCAGCGCGACAGAGCGATGTTAATGGAGGCAAGTGGAGGAGGGGGCGGGGAGAGCCGAAGGGGGGGGGGCACTACGACTGAGAAGAAGGAGAACGAGGTTGGTTGTGATCTTTTCCCAGGAAACGCAACAGAAAAGCGTCGAGCTCGAGCGTCTTTCCCTGTCCCTCCGCGAAGCTCGCGATGCTCTCCAGGTCGTTCCTCCCCCATCGCCAGCTGCCAGTCTGACGACAAGCCGCAGAAAAGTCACCAAGCAGCCAACTCGGTCATATATGACTACCTTAAGATTATCCGAGGAGGAGGAGCAGGAGCAGGAGGGGCAGGAGCAGGGGCAGGGGCAGGGGCAGGGGCAGGGGCAGGGGCAGGGGCAGCAGGAGGAGGGGCAGGGGCAGGGAGCAGTTTCGCGTGGATGAAAGCTGAAGAGGGAGGGAGAGGCAAGAGTGAGGTGAAGCTCGAGGAAGCCAGAGGAAGAGCAAGCGGAGGGGAGGATAGCGAGGCCGATGGGCAGACGAGAAGAGCAGAGAGAGCGACGCGCGAAGCTATGAGGTCAGTTGATGGGGAGGAGGAGGAGAGTCAGCCTGTAAAGCCAGAACTGCCGAAAGGAGTGAGGAAAACGAGGGAAGTAGCGAAGCTGTTGGAAGCGATGAAGGAGAAGCTGGAGAGGTTGATCGTCGGGAAGGATGGGGCGATGGCGGTCGGTAGCAAGTCGCTCTTCTCCTGCCGCGTCGGAGGGATCGCAGTGTCAGTGAAGCTGGCGGACATCAAGACGGTAACGAGCAGTACGGAAGGAAGGATCCAAGTGCTGGGTGACCGCAGCAGCGTCCTCCTGGTTGCCTCCTCCATCTCGAGCTTCGACCCCGAGGAGCTCGGAGAGTTCTTCGAGCTCGTCAAGTCTCGCGTGAAGGAGCGAAGAATCGCCGCCAATGGGAAGAAAAAGCCTGAGGAGCAGCCGCAGCTGAGACATCAAGCTACTTCAAGGCACGAGGAAACGTCTCATGGAAGGACAGCGGATCACGAGAAATCTAGGGTGGTGGACGGGGAGGAGGAGGAGGAGGAGGAGGAGGAGGAGGGATGGGATGATAACCTGCAGGGGGATTACGATGCTCTCCAGAGGTCCTTCTGTGAGGATTGGGAGAGCCAGAAGGGCACGCGCTGCCCTCATCCAGTCCCTCAGGTCGTTTGTCTTTGCTGCTTCCCGCACCTCTCACGGCTGCATCAGAGCACTGCTCACCTCTACCTCCTCCATGGTCACTTGCTCTGCGGGAACCGACTCGCGAGCAACGCGACGAGGTCGATCAGGAAGGCAGTGAAGCTGGACCCCTCCATGACGAGCGGCTTCAACTTGCTGGCGAAGATCTACATAGGACAAGGACGATTCAAGTGCGCATCCAAGGCCCTCGAGAAAACCCTCAAGGTCCCAGTCTCTGCCTCTTCTCTTCCTGCTTTTCTCTCTCGCAGCTCTCCTTCCCTCTTCTCCTCCTCTTCCTCCCACGTCCTCCTTCTCTAGCCAAGGCTGACTAGCAGAGCAGCTGCAGCCGGACAACTGGGAGGCGCTGATTCAGCTTCAGTTTGTGCTGCATCGGACGGGAGAGCTGAAGGGGGGGAGGGGGGAGGAGGTCAACGAGAAGATCTGCAGGAGGGTGAAGGAGCTTCTGAGTCTTCAAGGAGTCTCAGCTGACGAGTCTGCCATGGGCCTCTGCCGCTTCTTCGAGGAGGAGACCTGGCAAAGGGCCTACGCCCCCTCCCTCCTCAAGAAGATGAGAGACGAGAGGTCGCCGCCTCCTCCCTGCCCCCCTCCCCTCCCTTCACCCTCCTCCCCTCATCCCTCCCGGCGCTTCACTCACTCAACTCTCCTCACCCGCCCGGCAGGTACGTCGCCCTAGCGGATATTCTTCCGCAAGCGACGGTGCGGGTGCTGCAGCGCTACTACCGGAGGATCATCGAGACGAGGTATAAGATCAGGTTTGCAGAGAAGACGCGGCGCTGGGAGTTCGAGGAGGCGCCGATCGCCAACCTCGTCAACCTCCAGCTCTCCGACCTCGTCCAGCGCATCACCGGAGAGAACATCGTCCCCACCTACGCGTTTCCCGTCCACTACGTCTCAGGCGGTCACATCTGGCCGCATCTGGATGTGCCGGAGAACGAGATTTCCCTCACAATGCAGGCAAGGACAATCCCCCCCCTTCCTCCTCCCCTCCCTGCCCTCCCCTGCCCCCAGTCCCCTCCTCTCCTCTTCTCCTCCTCCCCCCCTACCATCCTCCCCCCCCTCCCCTCCTCCCCTCCTCTTCTTGTTCCGCGTTTGGTCTTCTACTCCCGCTCCTCGCCTCTCTGTTGCTCCCTCACTCGCCGCAGCTCGATCTCACCCCGGCTGACGGCGAGTGGCCGCTTATGCTGGAGGCGCCGCGAACCAAAGAGTTGCGAGGCGTGTCGATGCGGAACAACGATGGCGTACTGTACCGGTGAGGGCGAGGAGACGCGATGCGGCTGATGAGGGCGAGGAGACGCGAGATGACGGGCATGCAGGGGAACCGAAGTCGTACACTGGAGGGACAAAATGCCGGACCAATACCAGGTGAGGGAAAAGTGGAAGAGAAAGGGGGGGAGAGGAGTAGAGGAGCGAGAAAGGATGGGGAATGGCGGGGGGGGGGGGGCTGTGGAGAGGAGAGGAGAGGAGGCAAATGAGAGGAGAGGGGGCAGAGGCAGAGGCAGAGTTGACGAGGAAGCAGGTCATGCAGCTCATCTTTGCCTGGCGGGCAACCAACATGTCGGGATGCAACGCACAGTAGGAGAGCCAATGTCAAGGAAGGATACAATACAACAAGCTTCACATTGAGTCATAACCACCTCTGACCCTCACACTCACTTGGCGGCTCTCTTGCGTGCCATCGCCTCGTCGCCATCTTCTTTCGATTTCTTCTTCTTCTTCTTGCGAGGGGCTTCTTCAGTCACTACCTGCAGAGACTCTTTGGTCCCGTCTTCGTCTCCTTTGCTAGTTTCTTCCTTTACCCCTGTGATGTCCGATGGAATGAACTGCGTGCTCGGATCGACTTTGCTCACGCCTCGTCGCTGTTGCGAGTGCTTCACACCCCGGCAGATGATGATGAACATCGGGTACCACTCGAGCGCGATGATGAAGAAGAGCACCCACATGGAGTCGAGCGACTTGGACAGCCTGTCGCAAATCGGCTCTCGTACATCCATGTACGCCTTGTTCATCATCGTGCAATTGCCACTTGCAGACAAGGAGTCTACGACGAAACCGATCAGCAGCTGCAAGGAGCTGCTCGCACCCTTGAGCTTCGTCTGCGCTTCCTGCACCTGCTGCTCCCAGGCCTCCTGAGATCGTTGAAAGCTCTTCATCGACGCTAGCGTCTCGTTCCACTGTTGAGAGAGTGTCTCAGCGTAGGTCCCATAAGCTGAGCTGCTGCTGAGCCCCGACATGTAGCCCTCCGGCATCCCATGCTCGGCGATGCGGGACTCGGTGTCACCTGTATGCAGGGAGTAGTCGCGGCTCGAGCTGGACCTGAGCTGACTCAAGTCGTCCTTGAGCCTGCCGGTGAAGTTGTAGCCCGAGAAGGCAGCATACATCTTCTCCCTGCCGTATCCCACCACCTCCCACAGCTGGCCGTTAGGGTTTGATCGCACGAGACAATCTTGGTTCAGCCGCAGGAGGACGGGGTTGATCTCTGTTGGGTTCAAGTCTTGCGTGAAGGTCACCAGCCAAGGGACGGGATCTTGAGTGGTCAACGGCAACCCCTGGCAGATGTCACCGAAGGGCATGACGATGAGAGAGCTGACTCCAAACAGGACGAAGAAGACAAAGTTGCTGATCCATCCACACGTGTATGCTGTCCACCACAAGCTTGACCTTGACAACAAGAAGCCACAGACTGCCAGCGCTGCCGCTATCGTTGTGAAAGCCCAGATTGAGACTGAACCAGCAATCACTCCAGCTTGATTCCCTAGAGTACCCTTGACGGGTCTGAGAGACGAGTCTATCAAGTCGAAATATTGAGAATATTGATCCAGCGCACCCGAGACAAAAGTTGTGAAATTCATGATTGAGCCGTTGAGCTGCCTGCTGTCTATAGTGCTCCCGCTATCCAATGCTTCTATGAAAGTGTCGGTGGGCAATCGAGAGATTGCAGCTTCGATCTTATAGTCTTGCACGAGACATGTGCAACAACATGGACACTTTGTGGTATAGTTGCCATATGTGCAATCTTGTGTGCTTGTGAGCAAGAGGCAATCGTGCTGACTTTGGTACGTGCAACAGGTGATATTGCTTAACGGCATCACTATCTTTGAGTCTGATGACACGAAAGTCATTCTCGTCTTGTCATACGTGACTGAACTTGAATTGAACGTGAGTGAACATTGTCCCGAGTGCTCCACGTAAGATCGAATGGAAGAGAAGTTGTTCTTGAGTTGCGTCAGCGACGACTTTAAGCTTTGTTTGGAAGACAAAAGAGGCTTGGAGAAAACCAGCTGCTGGTTTACGGCTTCAACTCTGCCTCCAAGGCTGAAACTGATGTTGACAACAGAAGCATTGATCTGACCCGAAAGCGAGGTTGGAAGTGACAGACTGCTGTCAATGGCATCAATAACGGATTGAACGTCTGCGCTCATCTGGTAAGTGCTTAGGAATCCCAGAAGAGCCGTGGTTAAAATCACGAGAAACAAGAAGAATACAGCAAAGACACAGCATCTTGTCTCCTTCTTTCCATACTCGGTAGAAGGTTTCGTTCCTCCGCAATTCGGTTGTTTGCATGCAGATCCGCAGCATTTCATTCTTTCGCCTCCGAACCTTCCAATACAGAACCCGCAACAATAGATGGTAGTGATAACAGGGACAAGTCCTCCAATCATGACCATCAGCAGAAGAAAAGCCATGTACGAGCAGGCGGTGCCATCTCGCTTTGCTTGTATTGAACATGAAGACAGCTCTGAAGAGTGATAGATCAAAGTGTTGAGGAACTTTCGAGGGCTTCCGGTATATCCTGGCGCATAGAACGATTGTGTTGGTAATGATTTCTTCAATGGTTGTGCTAACGCGCTGGAAAAGCCGTCGGAAAGAACACTGAGAGACCCAACACTCATGGTTGAAACCTGGCTCCGGTATTTCACAACTCTTGCCTCTCCATGCACTAGGGGTTCAGTCTTGCTCGCACAGTGCTGTCAGCAAGCGCGTTGAGGATTGTCCAACACGACGAGGGGAGAGGATGCGAACTTTGACGGAGAGAAAACTACGACTACAGGTTGAATAATCCCTACACGTAGAGAGATCAGAGGAAGAGCCGAGAGGACAAGGGTAGGAGGCAGGAGGCACAGGAGGAGACAGGAGGCACAGCAGCAGCAGAAGGAGGAGGAGAAGGAGGAGACAGGAGGAGGAGACAGGAGGAGACAGGAGGAGACAGGAGGAGACAGGAGGCACAGCAGCAGCAGAAGGAGGAGGAGGAGGAAGAGACAGGAGGAGACAGGAGGAGGAGGAGGAGGAGGAGGAGGAGGAGGAGGAGGAGGAGGAGGAGGAGGAGGAGGAGGAGGAGGAGTCAAGTCCGGGCTGGGGGGACGCAGTGGAGGAAGGAGAAGGAGCAACGCATAGAAGAAAAGGAAGAAGGCACCAACTTCACCGTAGTACCCCATGGAGGTGGGGTGGTCGAGGGTTTGGGGTGAGTACCCCCACCGTCTGTATCTCTATGTGTTGCTGCTGTCAAGTAGGGGTGCAGAGACAAACGGCGCACAAGAGAAGGGGTACACACAAACACACAAAACGGGTGGTAACAAGGCAATGTCACTAGGACAATATTTGAATCAACAAGACCCACCCCCTTACAAGTCACACATTGCAAGGATTTCCAGGGGGTATGAGGGTCCTTTTATGCAACCTACCCCACCCTACCCCAAATCCCAACTGAAGATAAGGCCCGAGAGGTATTAGGGGGTACCCCACCCCCCTCCAGACCATTCTGAGCCCAGCAGGCCCTCCCATCCTAAGCCAAGAAACGTTGAACCCCGGCCCGGGCCCGGCCCGCCGGGACCGTACTCAGTGGCACTGAGGATCGCGTAGTACATGACGCCCTTGAGTGACAGTTAAGTTATTCAGTGGCGTCAAAGTGCTCCACAGTGACTCATGTGCATGTTGTAGTCGTTCAGACTCTGTGTATTGTGTGTTTGCGCCGCTTTTTTTTTTTTGGCACGCCGTGACGTTTGCTGTGTTGCAAACGCCCGCGCCGGGCCCCTTTTGTTGCTGCTTGTTGCTGCTTTCTTCTGCTTTAGGCACTTTCTACCTTATGCGAGTAAAACTCTGAGTTTCCCATATGTCTTGCTTGCAGCCGACGCCGTCGCCTCTCCTTATCCGATCATGATCGGATGTTGCTGTGCTTCTCATGTCATGATGTCCAGACTCGCCGGGAGGGCGTCACACGCTCGGACGTCCGACCGGGTCCCCTGCTGTGCCGGTATCACGGTGGCTTCCCGGCCCGCCGCAGGATTGAAGCTTTTTCTAACTTATCATGTGCGAGTAAAACTCAGATGTCCTCTGGCTCGAGCCTCGGAGCGCTTGCGCGCGCAAGGGAGTCATGCGCCTCGCACCAGACGGCACTTTTTACCTTATGCGAGTAAAACTCAGCACTGCCCTGGAGCGCCTCTAGCGTCAGCTGCATGGAGTCGCAAGAGTTTTACGCAAGCAGGAAGATTTACTGGCAGAAGGCTTGAAAGTGCCTCAAGCAGAAGAAAGCAGCAACAAGCAAAACCGTCAGGCATAGAGCACACACTTAGGTGGCCGTGCCGCGGTTTGCGAGCCAAGACCTCAGCAGCAGGTCCATCATCAGGAACGAAGTGAGGCAACGAGCGCCGTGAGCGATGATGTCCGCCAGATACCAGATGAAGCGCGGGCCTATCTGAGTTTTACTCGCATAAGACGGTAAACAGTGCCGCAGTGCCGAGAGCTCTTCGTTGAGAGTGGAGACCTCCGCTCGGAGTTGACTGGCATGAAAACCATCGGTGCTGCTTTCTTCTGCTTAAAAAAGACACTTTTTACCTTCTGCGAGCAAACCTCAGTAGGTGCCGATGGGCAGGCCTCCAAGTGTAATCCCGACAGTCACGACCTTAAAGTGACTCGAATCGGAATGTTTACTCGCAGAAGGTAAAAAGTGCCTCAAGCAAAACAAGCAGGAACAAGCTAAACCTGCATGCACACAGCGCACAGCGAGAAGCTGCACAAACACACACACAAAACAAGACCAAAAGTAACCAGCACGCCGAGGCTGGCAGATCCGGCACAGCCAGCCTACCGTAGTACGCGCGAAGCCGCGCAGACAAGCAGGGAGGGTCAAGCAACAGTCTGTAGGAGGGGTAACAGCTGAGCAGCAGGAGGGGACGTCCGAAATGAAACCCCCTTAGACGCGATACCCGGAGGCATCCGACTGACCACTGTCAGTGAAGAAGCTGAGTCTTGAGACGGCGCTTAAGGCTCTTCTTCAGCTGCGAGAGATCAGGGTGTTGGTGCCAGGAAGGTAAAAAGTGCCTCAAGCAAAACAAAGCAGGAACAAGCTAAACCTCCTGGCACACAGCGCACAGCGAGACACACAAAACACAAGCCCGAAAAGAACCAGCACTGCAGCGGACGTCTCGACTGACAGTGGTCAGTCGGCTGCCTCCGGGTATCGCGTCTAAGGGATTTTCTTCCTCCTGCATGCTCCTGCTGCTTGTTGCTTGATTGCTTGACCCTTCGGCTGCTTGTCTGCGCGGCTTCGCGTCTACCATCTTCGCTCATTTTCCTGAGCGTGACCTGAGCCACTCTCCGATGCGAGTCTCGAGCTACTACCCCCTCAAGGCCTTCCCGCACCGCTATGCTCAGATGCTCGACTGCTATCTCAGCCATGGCATGCCGATCTGCCAGTGTCCGACGAAATGTGATGGATGTCAGCGCGAGCTCGATCCCTCCGTTGCTGCACATCATCTCCAGACCTGCAAACGCCGATCCTCCAAGCTTCCCACGGCGCATGACAACCTTACTCGTACGATTCGGTCGATGCTGAACGAAGCTGGTCTTCAGAGCGTCATCGATACAGTGGGGGATCCTCGTTCTCGACGGCAGGTACCCTCCCATCCTCATGGCCGAAAGATGAAGGGCGATATCCACATCCCTGGCATCCGCGATCGAGGGTCCGAGCAGTCATAGGATTAACAAGCAGCAGGAGCATGCAGGAGGAATAAAATCCCTTAGACAGACTCTGCTGACCTTCGACTCTTTCACAAAAGTCAGTCAGCCTCCGTTCAGTGTACCTCGGGCGTCTGTCAGGGCGATGTCCCCTCCAGCGTATTTTTCTGCCACAGTATCCACCCCCTGCTCCTCCATATCGCAGAGCTTTTCCCTCTGTTCGAGTCTTGGCCTATGCTGACAACGTCGTGCTTGTCGGTCCACTCGAGGATGCCGTTGCAGCTACGTCCGCTATGAAGAAGTACATGTTAGCTGATCTGAAGCTAGAGAGAAGCTGCACAAACACACACAAAACACAAGCTCCTGGCATCAACACCCTGATCTCTCGCAGCTGAAGAAGAGCCTTAAGCGCCGTCTCAAGACTCAACTTCTTCACTTCGAGGTCGTCACTGGCGGGATTACACTTGGCGGCCTGCCTATCGGCACGGATGGATTTCATGCTAGTCAGCTCCGAGCGAAGGTTTCTACCCTCAACGAAGAGCTCTCGAAGCTCGGGCTCGTCCAGCATGGCTTCATGTTCAAGACGCTGGTGAGGGCGAGCCATCTCCAGAAGCTGCGCTTCTTCCTCCAGGGGTCTTCTCCGTTTCTCCCGCGGGTCCAATCACAGATTCGTCGCTTTGACCTCTCTGTCCACCTGGCGCTTGAGAAATACCACCGCTGGCCTTCCTCGCAGTACCTCGCCGCGCATCCCGACCTGCTAGAGTTTGCGAGGTTCAAGCGGGAGCTTCCGCATAGTCGGGGAGGGGACGAGTTCACGCCCTCTGAGGGTCTACACCCCGCTGTTTACTATACGGCTATCGCTCGCTTCCTCGCTTGGTACTCTGACCAGCCCATGTCCCGGACCTTGCCCTCTCCTCATAGCCTGGACGTTCACTGCTCGAGATCTCTCCGTGCCCAGAAGCATCCTCTGGCGACCTTCTTCGTTGAGGCGCACGACTTCGTTCATAATGCTGGAGCGATCCTCTACCGTCGTGTCAAGGCTCCTGCACCGGCTGCAGATGGCGCGGCGATCCCACCTGCCCCGGCTGCTGTGCCTGATGACGCAGGACGCCCCCCGGCATCTGTGGTACACATCCCTGGTTTGCGCGCTCTCGTCGACTCGTCTCATGAGCACTTCATTCCTCCCCCTGCGCAGCGAAATGTGACTCCTCTTGTCATGCGCGTCTTCCCTCGCCATGTGCATGCTCGCGCTGCGCTGACCGATCAGCAGCGTGATATCCTCACCTTGCACAGCCGCAGGACACACTCGCTCAAGTCGCAGGATAGGGTCTTGCAGTCTACCATCTTCGCTCATTTTCCTGAGCGAGACCTGAGCCACTCTCCGATGCGAGTCTCGAGCTACTACCCCCTCAAGGCCTTCCCGCACCGCTATGCTCAGATGCTCGACTGCTATCTCCATGGCATGCCGATCTGCCAGTGTCCGACGAAATGTGATGGATGTCAGCGCGAGCTCGATCCCTCCGTTGCTGCACATCATCTCCAGACCTGCAAACGCCGATCCTCCAAGCTTCCCACGGCGCATGACAACCTTACTCGTACGATTCGGTCGATGCTGAACGAAGCTGGTCTTCAGAGCGTCATCGATACAGTGGGGGATCCTCGTTCTCGACGGCAGGTACCCTCCCATCCTCATGGCCGCAAGATGAAGGGCGATATCCACATTCCTGGAATCCGCGATCGAGGGTCCGAGCAGTACGAGGGCTTGATGGCGGACGTGACGTTGGTCCACCCTTACATCCTATACCTTACATTGGTAGCTCTGCCGACCTGACCAAGTGGGGGGAGGTCAACCTTGCAGCGTCTGAGAAGATTCGCAAACATCGCGCTGCATATGCCATGACTACTCCTCCTCGAGCGTTCATCCCTCTTGCCATCTCGACGGACGGTACCCTGCATCCTGACACCCTCCGCTTCATCTGGTATCTCGCGGACATCATTGCTCAGCGCTCAATGCCTCTTGAGGATGCGGCGTTTGGTCGGCACTTTGTGCCTGATGACGGCCCTGCTGCTGAGGTCCTATCAGCGCCTCACCATGCAGCTGACGCTGGAAGCGCTCTTGTCTGGTGCGAGGCGCATGACGCCCTTGCGGGCATGACGCCCTTGCGGGCGCAAGCACTTCTCGAGCCAGAGGACAGCTCCTCCTCGGACTTTGTCGAGTCGCCCGAGGAGTCTCCGACTCCGATGGGGGACACCCTTCGAGTGGCCCCGACGATCGGCGCGGAGCTGGCGAGGCGTCTCCGTCGTCTCCGTCCCTCACTGTGACGTCGGGTGCCTCCGGAGAGCTCGACACCACTGGGGTGCTTGCTGCTGGTCCGAGCTCGCCTGCTTCCTCCCCGGCATCGGTCGGGTCACGCCGGTCCTTGGGCATTGCCGCGGCGTCGCCGCTGTCACGGGCGGCTACCACTGACTTGGCTACCGCTGACTCGGAGGCTAGCGAGGAGGACTACCTCGAGCGGTACCGTGTTCATGTGTCCAGCCTCCCTCCGTCCGCTGCCCCAGGCGGACACCCGGGCAGCGCCGGCTCCTTGTCGGCGGCTGCCCTTTCTCCGTCCGCGGCCGCCCGCTTTGTGGCGGCAGCGGACGTCTCGACTGACAGTGGTCAGTCGGCTGCCTCCGGGTATCGCGTCTAAGGGATTTTCTTCCTCCTGCATGCTCCTGCTGCTTGTTGCTTGATTGCTTGACCCTTAGGCTGCTTGTCTGCGCGGCTTCGCGCTTGGGCTGGCGCTGCCGCGTCTGGGTGCCAGCAGTGCTGGTTCTTTTCGGGCTTGTGTTTTGTGTGTGATTGTGCAGCTTCTCGCTGTGGACTGTGTGCCTGCCGGTTCAGCTTGTTCCTTCTTTGTTTTGCTTGAGGCACTTTTTATCTTCTGCCAGTAAATCCTATACTTCAGACGCGGCAGCGCCAGCCCAAGCGCGAAGCCGCGCAGACCGTACCGACAAGCAGCCTAAGGGTCAAGCAATCAAGCAACAAGCAGCAGGAGCAAGCAGGAGGAAGAAAATCCCTTAGACGCGATACCCGGAGGCAGCCGACTGACCACTGTCAGTCGAGACGTCCGCTGCCGCCACAAAGCGGGCGGCCGCGGACGGAGAAAGGGCAGCCGCCGACAAGGAGCCGGCGTTGCCCGGGGGTCCGCCTGGGGCAGCGGACGGAGGGAGGCTGGACGCAGGAACACGGTACCGCTCGAGGTAGTCCTCCTCGCTAGCCTCCGAGTCAGCGGTAGCCAAGTCAGTGGTAGCCGCCCGTGACGGCGGCGACGCCGCGGCAATGCCCAAGGACCGGCGTGACCCGACCGATGCCGGGGAGGAAGCAGGCGAGCTCGGACCAGCAGCAAGCACCCCAGTGGTGTCGAGCTCTCCGGAGGCACCCGACGTCACAGTGAGGGACGGAGACGCCTCGCCAGCTCCGCGCCGATCGTCGGGGCCACTCGAAGGGTGTCCCCCATCGGAGTCGGAGACCTCCGGCGAAGACTCCTCGGGCGACTCGACAAAGTCCGAGGAGGAGCTGTCCTCTGGCTCGAGAAGTGCTTGCGCCCGCAAGGGCGTCATGCGCCTCGCACCAGACAAGAGCGCCTCCAGCGTCAGCTGCATGGTGAGGCGCTGATAGGTGGCGGCGCGTTTGCGAGCCAAGACCTCAGCAGCAGGTCCGTCATCAGGCACGAAGTGCCGACCAAACGCCGCATCCTCAAGAGGCATTGAGCGCTGAGCAATGATGTCCGCGAGATACCAGATGAAGCGGAGGGTGTCAGGATGCAGGGTACCGTTTTACCTTCTGCCAGTAAATCCTATACCGTCCGTCGAGATGGCAAGAGGGATGAACGCTCGAGGAGGAGTAGTCATGGCATATGCAGCGCGATGTTTGCGAATCTTCTCAGACGCTGCAACATGCTGCTATAGGATTTACTGGCAGAAGGTAAAAAGTGCGGCATGGAGGGGTATAGGATTTACTGGCAGAAGGTAAAAAGTGCCTCAAGCAAAACAAAGCATGAACAAGCTGAACCGGCAGGCACACAGTCCACAGCGAGAAGCTGCACAAACACACACAAAACACAAGCCCGAAAAGAATCAGCACTGCTGGCACCCAGACGC